GAGTGGATCAGTTAGTCGAATGACCTCATCCACATGAGACGGCTCAAGAAGGTACTCCTGCTGATAGAACTCCTCGAATTCCGTTGGCTGGATGCCAGACCTCCAGACGCCCTTGACCGACATTTCGTCTTCCGTCAGGGTGCCAGTCTAGAGATGAGAAGGAGGATGTAAACCACACAAAAGTTTTACCGAATAATGTAAAACGCTTAAGGTCTAAAGGATTGAGGTTTAGATCGATGACGGGTGTTCGGGAAAGGAGAGAGTTTATATTTGCCTGCTGGAATATATATGATACCTTGCAGCAGGCAGGAGGTTCACTGGCGTTGTCGACAAAGATAAAGGAGACTTGAAGGGTCATTACTAACTTATTAGCCGTTATCAGTCAGTCATCGTAGACTCAGGATTTGCAACGTCGGAGTCTCGAAATCGCTACTTGTTTGTTAGAAGTTCAACACCCTTACCATTGCGTTGTCTTGTCGGTCGCGATCGAGTGTACGAACAATGATAGAGCGAATAGCCTTGCCAGCAAATAAAAGGGAGACTGGAATGGCCATTTCTGACTAATAAGTCGTCAAGAAACCGTCACACCCAACCGCAGGTGTGCCCCACCCGAAGCTCGAACCCTGTGCGGCTGCTGGCAGGTCTCGTGAATGAGACACGAGATATCGGCGGATGAGTAAGGTCCGTTTCGCGGTCGGTATACGTTCATCAACAAATGGCAGAGTGGTGTAATGGCACAGGAATATGATACTTTATAAGCAACTGCAGCCGTGACGCACCCAAAATAAATTGGATTACGCCCAGCGAAACTGGGCAGCAATTTTTTTGAGGTAACCATATCGGTGAGAGTTGAGACACAAACTGCTAGATGAGGTGGCTGAAAGAGCGACAACTCGAGATAGACGGTGCATCCTATGTAACAGTAAGGAAATCCGCCATAAAAGTGTTAAAAAGAGATGAGACGTAAAAGTATTAGAGAATTGAACCCTTCTATCAAGACTGTGAGATTGAATTTTACAACTTTTGACGAGATAGCAAGAGACGGGAAAAACGGGTGAAGACAGGTCTATCAGAGTTTCGAAGGAAACAGCCATAATATATTACATCTTGAAGTGCTGCAGATGTTGTTGTAAAGAAGGACGCACATTTGGGGATACCAAACATAAATTGGTAGGTGAGCATGTACGTCTGGTGATTTTTTTCTACGAGCACGTGCTTGTTAGCACATAATGTAGGCACGAGTTCCACCGGCGTTTTAGAATAGGAAAATGTTCAGCTATCAATTTGAAATTTCTTGAAAGTCTATAAAATATCACCGCATTCAGAGCTATTTAGAATTATAGCGGCGAAAGTGCGAGTCCAGATGACAAGTTAAAACAACAAAGGGGGTTTATATACGTTTTGTGTATAGGCTAGAATCATCGGCACGTCTAACAACAGCATTCCCAAACTCGCGTTGTTCGAAAAAACAGCAGGGTCTTAGATCACCGGTCAGGGGTTAAATTTGATATCTTTTTGGGAGGACATTTTTCCGTTTTTTTGGCTTTATGAGTAAACTTCCTCGTAGGATCCGCAGAACAACAGCTAGACTTTACCCGATTTGCCGGATTACGAAGATTATAGATTTATTCCAGGACATGAAAACGCTTCGTAAAG